GTGCAGAGTGTAAGTCAGTCAGTCCCACGAAACATCTACAATGCAGTTAGTATCTCTTCTCTCAGGCAGTGCTACAAAGGGATGCGAGACCATCCCTGCCATTGTTGTCAGGAATGTAAGTGTTTAAAAAAATAATATTATAGCTCTCTGGGCTGCATTCTTCGCTTCTACAGACAACAGTATCTCTGCCGGTGACGGAGAACTCTGCTGATTTACATAAGCTGAGAATAAGGCATGAGATTTTTAACCATAAAATAAAACAATCCAGCTCTCCGACTGTAACCTTTGCATGTATATTTCGAGCCCTTCCCTTGTCATTATTTACAGCATGGAAGCTTGTGATCACATAGGTCAAAAAGACTAAGCCACTTACTTAAAAATATACAGGAAGGGGTTGGTGCTGCTTCGCAAGCATGTGCGTTTTCAGGGGGCTTTTTCTACGTCTGGAGATAGGAAATATGTCGGTGGTGAAATAAAGTTTATCTGCAATGACAGGATGGATTGTTGGCTACGTATGCCAGGGCATCTGTAGACATTTACACCAGCTGCGAAACAGAACGTGTGTATCTGAAATGACTGGTCTTCAGTTTTAAGAGTAAATGACTTACAAATGGGAGGAAACCCAAAACCAAACTATGCTGTTTTGTTCATCCTTCCCTGCCAATACAAGATTGTTTTTTGCACTACACAACATTTTGCGAGCGCTTGTCTTTAGTTTCAACATGCCTCAAGTGACATTCTCTGTTTCCAGAAAAAAGTTTATTTCCCAATTTTATGCTTTTTTAGGTGGAATCTTCAAATGCAATCAGAATTGTTTTAACTTTACTCTCTCTTCAGCATGGCTGCAGAAGCCATTACATTTACAGGGAGCAGGGTTAGACCAGTGCTAGGCTCTGTATCCTTCACATTCAGGATGGTTGAAGGTTCAAAGCTCCTTCTGTTATAAAGACTAGATCTTCCTTCATCCAGTTTCAAAATGTTGTCAGCAACAGTTGGCAAAGTGGTTCCCTTCTCTATCTGCGGACTTACACCCTATAACATTGGTGATTTCTTTTAAAGATTTCTTTTAAGACTTTTTTCGTACTCTACTTTTGAAAGTGGTGGTGAGGAAAAGGAAAAAGGCAAACAACTGTGCAGTAGGGAGAAAGTTACAGTAGTGCCGTAATAGGATCAAAGTTGCTTCTCACCTTACGTGTCAATCTTCTTTTTATCTCTCGTTTTTCCTCCTGCTCCTCTTGCTCATTCCGGGCTGTAAAAGATTTACAAGGATCTCAGGCATGCACAGTATGCAACAAAATAAGCCTCTCCATCAGCACGTTAATGTTTCAGGACCTCTCTGATGCACAGCATGTCCCTCTGGGGCTGGTGAACTTCCTCGATCCGTAGCTACTGCATTTCCTCACACACTCCATAAAACATCTACAGCCTCCTTCCTTTCCCTGTGTTGGCACCTCTTCATGTGTGTCACTTTCTAGAAGGGCCAGGCAGTGTGCCAGCTCTTCAGAAACAGTTATCTGCCTGCCCACAGGCCTGGTGGCCTCAGGGGGTTCAGCTATGATACGGTCAGATTCTGTGAGGCTGCAAGGTCAACGGTTGGAAAAGAAACACATGCATTTTTTTTTCTATCATCTACAGAATAATTTCTCTGCAGCTACTATTTGGAAAGAATGGAAAAAAATTTCATAATAGGGGTGCCAGGCAAAATCTGCAACTTCCCATGACCTGAGCAGAGTAAGGGTCATGGTATCCTTCCATCACGAGCCTTCACAGCATCACGCTGGAGCATAAAAGCACATCCTAGGACAATCCACTTTCAACATTAAACCAAAAGATCATGTTACAAGTACTTACCAGGGCAAGCCTCAACCATTATCCCTCAAGAGGACACCACCACCTGAGTATACTAACTCTTCTTCAACTTAGGAGCAAGCTGTCATGCATGTCTTTCCACTGAACTTTACCGCAAGTCACTACAAGCCCAGGTTTCTAGGTACTCAGCTCCTCAGTCAGTTAGGATCTGTTTCCACTGCTTCGTTGATGGCAGAATTGCTCCTCACTTCAGTCACACCCGCGTGTAACAGATGAGAGCGAACACAACTCATCGGCTCTTCCAGCAAGTACCCTGTGCCCCTGGTGTGACCCGGTTTTCACTCAGGACTAGCTCAGGCAGGAATAGCACTCTGCAGGGGAGATTATGGGCCTCAAAGGCCATTTTGGGATAGGTGACTTGATTTAAATTATCCAACTTCGGACTGAATTAAAACCCAAGGGGGAATCCCGCGTTCCCCTCAGCTGATCCTGCGGGAGAAGCAGGCACCCCTGGCAGAGCGGCAGTAATAAACCGCCAGCCGTAACTTCTTCAGCCAAGCGAGCACAGGTCGGCACTCCCACCAACCAACTGGGACAAGCCAAAAATAATGTAAGAAAGTCCTAACCCAATGGAAGTCTGCCCACAGTGGAGGAGATGCAACGTTTCAAACCAACGCATTTGAAGTTGGGGCATTCCCCACACAGAAATAAGACCTAAGGTTCAGAGACCACAGGAGCCTCTGAGCAGGTGAGGAGGGCTAGGCTGGAAGCCAGGTTTCGTGCGGCTCAGGACAGCAGAGCTGACAGGTCTATCACAACTGCTCACTGACTTCGGCAGGACTGGGAAATGTCCACCAGCGTGGACAAAGAGCCAGTCAATGTTATGATGTTTTACCATATGCTTCTGATCTTTAAATGCCATTTTACCAAAAATACTGCTTACGTTGTCAGGAGGAAGGAAACTGATACTGGAGTGAAAAGAACAGAAAACAGCAGGGAGTCACAAATGGCTTTTAAAATGATAACTGGAATAGTTAGGCTGATAAATACGTTTTTCCTCTTTCAATGGTTCCTGTCCCTCCTGGGCTGGATTCTCTTTCAGCAATTGCTCCTCTAACAATTTTGTTCTTCCTTTTGTGTCTCAAATTTGGAGGAGCTGATCCTGCAAATGCCTACTCTCAGAAGCAGAGCCACTAATAAATCCTTGTAAGATTAAGCCAGAGAGACACAACGCTAGATAGAGCCCACAGAGAGTCAGGGTAGAACTGCAAGCAGCCAAGGAGTTAGGTATAAAATCTGGTTATGGCCATTCATTTTTGTACTTGGCATATGAAGTTTTTCTCTTCTCCTCACTTCTCTGCCCAGCCACCCACCTTCAGAGACAGCCAGGCAGGCTGAGGACCTTGGTCAGGTGAAAGCTGGGTATTAGGAATACATTCTCCTCTGGAACCAGAAAATAACTTTGTTTTCACTTTCTTTAAAGTTAATTAAGTCATGCTAATCTTGAGAAGCTACAAAACTGTGGCTTTATTTTATCTTATGTGTTCAGGAGATGCTCCGTTTCTCCAGACCTGTGTGTGTGAGGGTGGGTGGGTGCGGGTGCGATTTTCCGGCCTGATTTCTGTGCCAGCGTGAAATGTCCCCCAGTACAGCCTGAGACACTCGGAGCCTAACTAACCATCACTTCTGTGAAGAATTTATGCAACCCCGAATGTGCCAGGCTGACAACCGAAGTACTCGTATCCATCAGAGAAGTGGCACGGGGGTGGTGTGCGAGGGGGATCCAGGCATCTTCCCTCCTAAACTTGGCCAGCAAGTATGAACTGCAAAAAGTGTTCTTTAGCCTTCACATTAACCCTGCAGGTCTGGACTCCTCTCACTACATGGCTTTGACTTAAATAAGAGTCAGTGCATGGGCTATACCTCAGTGAAGGATCCTTCAGCGTTCCTTTCTCGGTTTCTTTGCTGCGGCTGCTGTAATCTGACTGTCGCTGGCAGCAAGTAGTGGAACTCGTGCGATGGACGCTTTGCCCTTGCAATTTAATAAAGCTGACCATGTCTTAATTATTGCAGTAGCACGGAGCTATGAAGTGACCACTTCATGTATAAAGACTGGATGTCCAACCGCATTTTGCCTCATTTCTTCCCATCAGAACGGGCAATAATGTGGTTACACATGTAAGAGGAACATCATAGTACTGGACATGACATTTGCATCAAGGAGATTTCAGCTGTAACTGCAGAGGAAATGCTGTCTACTCTACTCGGGAGCTTGCTGGGGTTGGTGTTTGTTTTTTTTTTTGTTTTTTTTTTTTGTATGTGTGTATGCTGTGAACTGGGCTTTTGCAAATAGCTTGACCTGCTTATGCAGAGAATTTACACTATTTTCATTATTGCTTCCTATGTTTCTTTTCCCCTAGGCTGCATTATATTTGTTATAATTCTTTTTCTCAGAAGTCTAGGGAAATGTTACTTGCTTAAGAGTGGAGCGTTTTTATGCTTTTTTTTTTTTTAAATTATGTAATTATTTTAATTGTTTGTTCCTTTCCTGCTGCGCTTCACCAAAAGTTGAGATGCCTCGGAAATACCACATTACTTTTTCCTGTAATTATGAAGTTGTTTGTCTACCAAGACACACATGTTTTGGGGCAGATCTGAGCTTAGGAACCAAAGTACAAAAATTCCATTTAGGAAATACATTATAGTTCTGGGTTCAGGGTAATATTTTCAAATACATCCATGTCATTTAAGAGTATTTATTCAGTTCAAAAAGAAACCAGTGTGACTCAGGGGTAATTCCTCTGAAAGGTAAGACATCTTCAGGTCGCTACGTGACTGCTGCGCTTGGTGACGTGACCTTTAGGAATCTCTGCAAGGGACCCAGTGTTGGAGACGCTGCCTCTCTGCTGATGCCATTTCAAACACCGCTGCCAAAGCGGCAGCCCGAGACCCCCACCTCCCCGCAGCCACCCTCACCAGTGCCAGGGCGGTGTTTACTGGTCACGCACCAGTGCCAGGTGGTGCATGACACATGTTGGGTCATGTTGGTGGCACGTCCCGGGATGACAACATAAGCTGCCCAGAGAATTGGCCTCTGTCCCTCCTCGCCTGAGCCTGGCATCAGTCACAATGCAGGTTCCTCCTCTTCCAGCTGTTCGGCTGCCCCACCCGCGAGACAATCCCATCGGGATGTGCCACCCGTTTCCCCAGTTTCTGCCCCTGACTTTCTCCAGCTGCCAGGCATGGGAGCTGGCAGTAGATGGTAGGAGCACAGCTACCAAAAGGGGGCTGGCCCCAAACAAATGGCTTTCCTGGCAGCCTGGGGCTCGCCCACGCCGCTCTGCTGTCTGGTCTTTTCTCCTCTTTGCGTCGACAGCGGTGTCTCTCTCTTTCTCTGCCACGTGTAATAACATGAACAGATAATAAAACCCTGCTGAGCGTTAACACTATCATTAACTTGCCAGGAATTTGATTTTGAAGTATTTAATCAATCGATTCTGATAATTTTCAGAGAAATAATCTCCTGCTACCACATTTTTATGATTCTGAACAATGCAGTTATTTGAACAACAAGAGAAGGTAAATTATGGACCTACCTAAGGGGAGACTTATAGTATTTTAAGGTACTATTTAGGAATACTTTTTTCTGTAGTAATTTTTTAAAATTTCCCTGGAATGATGGATTTACTAACTTAAAAAGGGAAGAGCTTGTTTCTTTTGTTCTCTGTTTCCAAAGTAACAACAATTAGATAAACAGCTTTTTAAAAATTTTTATATTCAAGCCACTTTAATGTGGATAAAGAAATTGTTGATTTTTTTTTCTTATTCGTTCCTGAGATTACGAGATTTGTGTCAGACTCAGTCCTGCTTCCCTTGAAACTGGTGGCGATGCATCTACTAACTTAACTCAGACCAGGTCTAAATGGTAATTTGTCCCTTTAAAACAGCATTTAATGTTTTGAGGATCTACCAGCAAGTTTTTGGCTGATTTAAAGGAAGAGTTTCAGGGGAACATTTCAGGGAAATAATCCCGAGTCACATTGGTTTCTTTTTTTAATTGAATAAATGCTCCACCTAGTCTAGATTGCTGTGAAGATTTCAAGGAAAACTAATCAAGCGATGCCCTAAATGTCTTCACTAACTTATAATGGGATGCTCACCTGTGTAAGAGCCGCATAAAGGCTTTTCAGAATGACTGACCCTCTGGAACAGGACTTGCAAAAGAGATTCAACATTTCCGCCCCCCCCCCCAGATTGTTCATTCTTGTGAATTTACTGACACTGATTTTAAAGAATTGTTTCTGCAGCTCTAGATGTTGCTACAGACTTGTATGCTTACTTGCATTTCTGATGCACTTTATTAATGATGCACGTACAGAACAGTTGAAGTTTTATAAAAAACACTCAACATACACCTAAACTAACCCAAACTAGCTGGCTTCAGGTTAAATGTCAGCAGTATCAGGACTTACGTTTCAGTATGTTCCTCTGCTCCAATTCTTCAGCAGTTGGCCTCTGGCTCAGTCGTCTGCGAAAAAAGTCCAAGATCAGTTTTTGGACCATATCACATTCTCCTCAGTTCTCTGTCTTGAAGAGTTATTTTGGGGTGTGAAAGGCAGAGCAGAAAGCACTGACACTGCTCCATTATGTACTTGGTACGCCGGGACCATGCGTGACACAGACCATGCTTCGCTTTCGCAGTTTCCTCTGTTTTCAACTCACGAAAGGCAAAATACGTTATGTCATCTTAGGCATGACTCTCCCACCCCTACCCCAGGCGGAGCTGCTGAAAGCTAAGCTACACAGATGTCTCCACTTAATTTCCTTCCTCCCATGCCTGCTTCCTGACTCGCGCGAGTATTTCTAGCTAAGACCCAGCTAGCCCTCTCGCTGCACTCTCGCCAGCCTCCTGACTGCGCCCCGTTTGTTCAAACAGCGTTTGAATACACAGACACTCCGCAGAAAAAACAAGGGATGGTTTGGCAGCGCTGAGGGCAGAACAATAGCAGCCCTCCTCCTCTGCGCCCTCACTTCCCTCCTCCTCTCGTGGCTTTTATTAAATCTTATATTGAAGGATCAGTGCGACTTGCTAGCCAACCTGTACCTAACAGGGCCACAACAAACGCAGTCTAATTACAAACGGGGACCCTGAGCATAGAAACGGTCTGAATGTACAAAGCAAGGGAGAGAAGCACAAAGGGGTCTTTGGAAAACAAAGTTAGCCAGGCAGATGACATCAGAAGTCAACACTGCTGGGCCTCCTCATACTCTCTGAGTCAATGGGAGTTTTGTGAACGATGCCAGCGACAGGACAGAACCTCCCCTTCCTTCAGACATGGTCATTCAGAGATGTTCCCAACTTGGGGGCCCCAGTCTCTGCCAGTTGGCTCATCAGTTCCTCTGTGAGGTACCGGGTACCGATAGGAAGCGTGATATGAACGCTGGCTGCATGGCTTCATCTTCTGCGATGAATATTTCCCCTGCCTGGGGCACAGAAGCTCACTGAAACAGGGATGTCTCTGCAAGGCTGGATGAGGGATGTCTGACAACGGCTCCTCACAACAGAGGGGCTGAGCCACTGCTCAGAGACGCGCACACATCCCCAGCCTTCCCCCGAGCCAGGAGCTCACCTGTGTGCCAGTGCAACACCCCTGCCCCTCATGTCCTGCATGGTGCACGGGGCTGAAGCGCATGGGGTTGGGTAGGAGCCCACCCCCTACGCTAGCTGTATGAAGGCAGAAGCGCTACAGGCATCTGACTTCATATGGCCTGAAGATTTCCCTCAGCAGAGGTGATACCAGCCATACGTTCTCCGGGGCCACTTTACACCATGAAAACAAAACAGCAGAACATAGCCCTGTTCCAGTGGAGGATTTGGAGTCATCAGCTTTGTCTCTTTCCCATGGCAGATTGAACATTTATCTCATTGGAAAAGTGCTGAAAGGGACAGAAACTCATCCTTAATTCAGAAGTAAACAACATCTGCAAAGTACTTTGAAGACAAAAAGTGCTATTCAAGTGCTTGCTATTACCGTCTTTAAGATACGGTAGCTGTTGCTAATGGGAGACTTCATCCTAGGACTATGAAGCAATTAAAACTACTTTATTTCTAGCAGTTCATGAGAATCAAAGAGAAAAAGTTGCCACTCTTAGCCCCACCATGTGTGTCTGCAGGAATTGAGTTATACAATGTTTTTAATCTACTGCACCGTGACTCTTTTGAAGAGGATGCATTAGAGGGATGTTAAGGATGGACTCCAGCCATCCAGCCTGCAGTTGCTTCTATAGAAACAAACATCACACAACAAGTAAAAGGAGAAATAAGTCTGAAGAGAATGGTCCCGAAAAGGTCCTCTCCAAGAAAACAAGGATCGAAGGACTTGGCTAACAGTTCTGTCAAGAACCGTTCACACTGGAGCGTTTCCAACAAAAGGCAGAAATTTTATCTACCTACGTAGGTGATTTACAAAAAGGACCAAGCCTGCCATGTGTTTACTGGCGTACCTGCCATGAAGTAGATGCATTTAAACAAAGCTTTCACTTCACTGTGTCATTGCTTCCACACAAGAGGACAGAGTATTTCCTCGAAGTATGCCCTTGGTATTATATGCACCCTCTACTCCTGTGCTGCTCAGAGACCTATAGACTGTGGGATTCTTGCCCACGCTGCCTGGTAGGGCCCCTAGTGAAAGCTTGCCAGGGATACCTGTGACCTGTGTTCCCCTTTGAGAGGCAAATTATTTTACGGATCCCACAATCCACCCCTTTGAGGCTGCAGTGTGCTCCTGCCTAAATGATGGCCACCACTTTCAGGCAATGCACTCACATGGCAGAAAAAGCCATTATACTTTTGATAGATACAGTCTGGAGATCTGAAGCTATCTGCATTCATGGGTTGTCGATCGCTTCTGGACTCTTACAAAGCCAAGAATTTTTAATAGCAAGGCTTAGGCAGTAGAAAAAAATAAGGTACCCTTGTAGCGTAACAAAATCATGACTAGTCCTTACAGTGCAAGCGGTTAAGCACAGCTGGAGGATAAAGAAGGTAATAAATAGAAGCTGTAGAGGTGCCTGGCCTCCAGTATCAGTGTCTGCTTTCATCTCCATGCTGCTATATCCCCATTTCTATCATCCTTTTGGATTGACTGAGCCTGCTCCTGCTCCCACGTTGTGAGTCCCTCCTTGATCAGCTCCTCCATCAAACCAGCCTCTTCCCCAGCCCTTTGCTTCCAAGCTCTCACAATTATTTCTTACCTTGGTGTCTTGCTTTTTAAATTTCATTTCTTCTCTTGCTGCCACAGTCACTTCTGCCCCCAAACTGTCTTTAGGCTTTATGAACAACTCCATCAGTTCCTTAGAACAGCTTCATTTTAGTTCTTTTTTCTTGCCTCTTAACTTCTAGGTTTTCCAGGTGTTGAACAGCTGTTAATGTTACCATCTTTGAAAATCTTGATATTAGTTACTGATCCGGTAAATCAAGAAATGTAAGCAGCTCTTGCTTTGTTACCATGGCTGCAAAGATACAAGTTTTTTCACACTACATCTCTGGTGCGCCATTCTGATCTTGGCAAACACCAGGCGTGATACCTCCCCTCTTCTACCTTCCCTCCTGCGCTGCCCAGAATAAAAAATATTAATGATGCCCACCTATCTTGCAGAGGTTGATTTCAGTGGTTTGATTGCTGGATTGCTGCCATGCCTTATTTCATTTAACTTCACAGGGGCTGCACGAGACTGTCAAGAGGCCAGAGGTCAGGAAAGAAGTGTCTCATTAGCAGCACAATCAGAATAAACTGGAGAAAACGGAGGTGAGGAAGGAGCCTGGTGCAACAGCAAAGAACAGATCCACTTGTGAAAACTGTAAGAATTGAGTGGGATGTGCAGTGCTGCTGCTGGTCAGAAAGGCAACTCTGGCTGTTTCATGGAGCTGTAAGAGCAGAGGTGTCTACCCAAGGAACAGGCAAGACAGGCCTTAAAAAGTAACAAACTTTACCAGCACTTTCTGTACCTAAAATCTCTTGTGTGAACGTGCTTGACCTTCACTGTGCCATCCATGCAGTTTTACAATAAGCTTCAGGTATTCAACAGGATAGGAAAGTTTGTTTTTTGTAATTCGTGCTTTGCAATGTATTTGCCTGGTCTATACTTTGTATAGACATCTCTGGAAGTGTTCAAAAAACGAGTGGATGTGGTGCTTCAAGACATGGTTTAGGGAACATGGTGGCGCTGGATTAATGGTTGGACGCGATGATCTTGAAGGTCCTTCCCAACCTTAGTGATTCTGTGATTCTGTGATTCTGTATGTTTTTGCAATATTGCTAACAGCGTTTTTGCAAATACACTGATAAAGGTTTTACTACGAAGAAAACCTTCCCAAGATTGATGGTCACATAAAGAAAGCTTTGATAGGATTTGACTGAGAAAATAATATCCAAATGAGATTGTCAGTGAAAAATAAGTTTGCTCAGATTTACAAAGATAAACTTGACAGCAAACTGATTTTCTGAATTAGTTCCCTGCATGATCAAAATGCACTACACTCCTTGTGCTAGAACTATACAACAAGAGCTAAGCAGCTCTTTATAAGGACATTGTGTGGTGGGTTTTTTTGTTTGTTTTTTTGAGGGCTGGGCTGGACACATGATGGTGGATGAGTAGGAGTTTTGGGGCAGGAGGGACGATTGTGCAAAATCAATTGCTGTAGACTCCAAGTATCGGCTGGTGGGGGTGTAATCTCTTCAAGGAGCCAGAGGAAAGGCAGGCAGCGTTTTCACTGAAGGATGTTACTCTTTGGAGCCTGCTCAGCAAACTGAGAACTCAGAATGGGAAGCTTCTGCTCCATGTGGCAGTGTCCTGCAGTGGCAGTAAAAGGAAAAACTGGCTGTATATCTCCCCAGGCAATACAAAACACTTAAATTAAGAGCCCACGCAGTGATGCTTACCCTGATCTGCAGTGTGGCCATACCCAGAGGGCTCTCAGGACAGCTGCCAACTAGTTCTGGGGGTGAGGGTCAGATTTTTGCAGCCCTTGTGTCTGGTAGCACCGCTGAAGCAAGGCGCTCCTGGCTGCCTCAGCTGTCCCCTACTAGGAGTCATGGGTTTTCTCCCCTTAGTCTCTTGTTTTGTTGTGGATAAGCTCTGAGAAAGAGCTGGTTAATGCCATCCAGCTCATTGTAGTGTGAACAGGATGGTGTTGGATATGTGTTTTCTGGGTATCAGGAATTCATCTTTGCCTCTGCCCAGAGGGCAAGAAAATTTAAGAGCTGTACCTAGCATGACTGGATATAGTACAGGGCTTGCTGGAAAACTGATGCCCCACATACTTGCCAGGCTTGTTAACTCTGAGCATTTGCAGATCCAAGAGGCAGAACCCAGCAGCTCTCCAGCGCTTGAATGGTGACATCTGGGGTGCGTGACCCAAGAGCAAGACTGATGGGCAAACAGGTCACGGGTGGTCACAACAGGGCACGCAGCGGTATGGTGAGGTGATCAGAACACCATCAAAACGTGTTGGAGCCCAGCCACTCT